GTCTGTTATGTTGAGTGGGTATATCGTCATGTTGATATAGATCTGTTATGTTGAGTGGGTATAACGTTACGTTGACGTCTGTTATGTTGAGTCGGTATAACGTTACGTTGACGCCTGTTATGTTGAGAGGGTATATCGTCATGTTGATATAGAGCTGTTATGTTGAGTGGGTATAACGTTACGTTGACGTCTGTTATGATGAGTGGGTATATCGTCATGTTGATATATATCTGTTATGTTGAGTGGGTATAACGTTACATTGACGTATGTTATGTTGAGTGGGTATACCGTTACGTTGACGTCTGTTATGATGAGTGGGTATATCGTCATGTTGATATATATCTGTTATGTTGAGTGTGTATAACGTTACATTGACATATTGGGTATAACGTTACGTTGACGCCTGTTGTGTTGAGTGGGCATAACGTTAAATTTACGTCTGTTATGTTGAGTCATGTTGATATATATCTGTTATGTTGAGTGGGTATAACGTTACGTTGACGTCTGTTATGTTGAGTGGGTAAAATGTTACGTTGATGTCTGTTATGTTGAGTGGGTATATCGTCATGTTGATATAGATATGTTATGTTGAGTGGGTATAACGTTACGTTGACGTATGTTATGTTGAGTGGGTATAACGTTACGTTGACATATGTTATGTTGAGTGGGTATAACGTTACGTTGACGTATGTTATGTTGAGTGGGTATAACGTTACGTTGACGTCTGTTATGTTGAGTGGGTATAACGTTACGTTGACGTCTGTTATGTTGAGTAGGTATAACGTTACGTTGACGTCTGTTATGTTGAGTGGGTGTATCGTCATGTTGATATAGATCTGTTATGTTGAGTGGGTATAACGTTACATTGGCGTATGTTATGTTGAGTGGGTATAACGTTACGTTGACGTCTGTTATGTTGAGTGGGTATAACGTTACGTTGACGTCTGTTATGTTGAGTGGGTATAACGTTACGTTGACGTCTGTTATGTTGAGTGGGTATAACGTTACGTTGACGTCTGTTATGTTGAGTGGGTATAACGTTACGTTGACGTCTGTTATGTTGAGTGGGTATATCGTCATGTTGATATAGATATGTTATGTTGAGTGGGTATAACGTTACGTTGACGTCTGTTATGTTGAGTGGGTATAACGTTACGTTGACGTCTGTTATGTTGAGTGGGTATATCGTCATGTTGATATAGATCTGTTATGTTGAGTGGGTATAACGTTACGTTGACGTCTGTTATGTTGAGTGGGTATAACGTTACGTTGACGTCTGTTATGTTGAGTGGGTATATCGTCATGTTGATATAGATCTGTTATGTTGAGTGGGTATAACGTTACGTTGACGTCTGTTATCTTGAGTGGGTATATCGTCATGTTGATATAGATCTGTTATGTTGAGTGGGTATAACGTTACGTTTACATAGATATGTTATGTTGAGTGTGTATAACGTTACATTAACGTCTGTTATGTTGGGGGGTATATCGTCATGTTGATATAGATCTGTTATGTTGAGTGTGTATAACGTTACATTGACATATGTTTTGTTGAGTGTGTATAACGTTACGTTGACGTCTGTTATCTTGAGTGTGTATAACGTTACGTTGACGCCTGTTATGTTGAGTGGGCATAACGTTACGTTGACGTCTGTTATGTTGATTTGGTATAACGTTACGTTGACGTCTGTTATGTTGAGTGGGTATAACGTCTCGTTAATGTCCATTATGTTGAGTGGGTATAACGTTACATTGACGTCTGTTATGTTGAGTGGGTATAACGTTACGTTTACGTCTGTTATGTTGAGTGGGTATTACGTTACGTTGACTTATGTTATGTTGAGTGGGTATAACGTTACATTGACATATGTTATGTTGAGTGGGTATAACGTTACATTGACATTTGTTATGCTGAGTGGGTATAACGTCATGTTAACATATGTTATGTTGAGTGGGTATAACGTTACGTTGACGTATGCTATGTTGAGTGGGTATAACGTTACGTTGACGTCTGTTATGTTGGGTGGGTATATCGTCATGTTGATATAGATCTGTTATGTTGAGTGGATATAACGTTACGTTGACGTCTGTTATGTTGAGTTGGTATAACGTTACCTTGACGTCTGTTATGTTGAGTGGGTATATCGTCATGTTGATATAGATCTGTTCTGTTGAGTGGGTATAACGTTACATTGACATATGTAATGTTGAGTGGATATAACGTTACGTTGACGTCTGTTATGTTGAGTGGGTATGACGTTACATTGACATATGTTATGTTGAGCGGGTATAATGTTACATTAACGTTTGTTATGTTGAGTGGGTATAACGTTACGTTAACGTCTGTTATGTTGAGTGGGCATAACGTTACATTGACATATGTTATGTTGAGCGGGTATAATGTTACATTAACGTTTGTTATGTTGAGTGGGTATAACGTTACGCTGACGTCTGTTATGTTGAGTTGGTATAACGTTACCTTGACGTCTGTTATGCTGAGTGGGTATATCGTCATGTTGATATAGATCTGTTAGGTTGAGTGGGTATAGCGTTCATTGACGCCTGTTATGTTGAGTGGGTATAACGTTAAGCTGACGTCTGTTATGTTGAGTTGGTATAACGTTACCTTGACGTCTGTTATGTTTAGTGGGTATATCGTCATGTTGATATAGATCTGTTCTGTTGAGTGGGTATAACGTTACATTGACATATGTTATGTTGAGTGGGTATAACGTTACATTGACATATGTAATGTTGAGTGGGTATAACGCTACGTTGACGTCTGTTATGTTGAGTGGTTAAAACGTTACATTTACGTCTGTTATGTTGAGTGGGTATATCGTCATGTTGATATAGATCTGTTATGTTGAGTAGATATAACGTTACGTTGACGTCTGTTATGTTGAGTTGGTATAACGTTACGTTGACGTCTGTTATGTTGAGTTGGTATAACGTTACGTTGACGTCTGTTATGTTGGGTGGGTATATCGTCATGTTGATATAGATCTGTTATGTTGAGTGGGTATAACGTTACGTTGACGACTGTTATGTTGAGTGGGTATAACGTCACGTTGACGTATGTTATGTTGAGTGGGTATTTCGTCATGTTGATACCTGTTATGTTGAGTGGGTATATCGTCATGTTGATGCCGGTTATGTTGAGTGGGTATATTTTGTATTTCGTCATGTTGATATAGATCTGTTATGTTGAGTAGATATAACGTTACGTTGACGTCTGTTATGTAGAGTGGGTATAACGTTACGTTGACGTCTGTTATGTTGAGTGGGTGCAACGTCATTTTGACGTCCAATTCTTTCTTTTGTTATGTTGCGTGGGTATTTCGTCACGTTGACATCTGTAAACATATATGTACATATGTATGTACTTTCCACAATTTGCACTTTCCATTGCATTTGCAACAGGTTGATAATCAACAGGTCGACTCCGCTATAACAGGATGTGACATGAATACCATGACTCATCAGTACCCATGCATACATAATCCGGGTTTCATCAAGACTATTACCCGGCCCATATCTAGTCTCTAGACACGTACGAATACCTGACCCAGGCCTCACAAACAGAGAAACATATCCATTGTTTGGTCCATGCCTCACCTAAAATGTAGACTATTGACCAATAAATAGCCCTGACCTCATCTCTACTGCATTTAATATCTTCAGTGCATGCACGGTTCGGGGCTCAAATAAATATTGCATTTTAATAATTACGAAATTTGATTGCAATACAGTGTACGACGGACTTAAATAAATGATAACCGATTTATGCATGTTTTTCCTTTTCAAAATTTCCTATCATCCCAATAAAGTTATAGGAGATATTTTTGCTGTGTAAACGTGGCAAAGTTGTACATGTCCACCAGGTTGACTGTCCCTCTGTTAGTCACTGTACGTCACCACGCTTCAGAGTTGTAATTGAGTCACTGCTGGAACAACTGATTGTTCTGTCAATTAAAACATGCACTTACTTATACGTATGTATTTGAAAGACAAGCGAACATTGTCTACCTGTACTTGACAATCATGGAGAAAACTTACCTGTGCAGCCCTGGATTAACACCAAAACAAACCAAAGTAGTATTAAAACCAACAACGCGGATATTTTCTCCGGAAATATGAAGATAAATCTCTTCCCTATTGAATAAAAGACCTTCGTGTCCGCTGATTTGCGTGTTTGCTTTTAAGGAGCGATAACGGCGAATGAACCTGTTAGTGTCCTCACAATGCACCAATACAAATCGAACCTGCGTCATCAGGGAGGGACGAATGTGGGGTGGGGCTATCCTGGGGTTCCCAACACAAACTCACCCAGTCCTATCGGTAAAACATATAAAACGAAAAGAAAAGAGAATTAAATTAAACGGTGTAGTCGGAAAAATATATATACATGTATAATGAAAAAAAAGGGAACAAAGAAATAAAACCACGAATTCCAAATCATCGTAGCGTCAACACAACCATGATTCGAACTCAAATTCAAGAAAACTATGAATCAATGAAAGACTCGCTAGAAAACCCTTGGAAAAGTACAAGGACAATAAGACCACGTGATCCGGAAGGTCAAGTGTAACTGCAACCTGTGAACATCGAAGTCTGGGGAACGGAGATGTTACTGTCAAGAAAGAGAGAAAGTTCATGATCGAAAAATGGGAATTGTCCAGCTTATCTTACAGCTTATTAGTAAACTGTCCCTGTTGGTCGAGTTGTAAGTAAATACGGACCTGCCTCTTTTATATTGGTTTCCAAAACTTTACAATAATCTGTATAAAGTGTTATTGCTAGCTCTACTTGTTGCTCGTTAATAAAACCATTCTCCAGTCTTCTTACAATCACTCTTACTGATTGTATCTAAGGGTGTAAGTCGCATTGTGACACTGATTACTCCAGAAATAGAATTAATTGAATTAATTATTTTAAATAATTCAGAAGTTGTCTTTATCAATCTTTAGCACCATTTCCTCAAAAATATTTCTTCTTTTTACTTCTTCGCTCTTTAAAATACCATATCTGCATACTAAACTGAGGAACGCCTTCATTATCTTAATATGAGAACTTTCTTAACAAAAAAGGCGAACGGCAAAATGCCTGCAAATTTATGGTTGTAAAATGCTTTGGATCTTAGTTTGTGAAAAACACCACACATATCAAAATGAAAGTAACTGGGCATTTGATACCAAGAGAGTGTTGGAGTTCCTTATTGACGATGCTTTTGTTGGGTTCGATGGCAAGATTTTCCAGCAGACTATGCATCAACATCTACGCTGTGTCCCTCTTCTTGTTGGCGACTTGTTTCCGCACGAGGCTGAACTTTATTGCCGAGTCCTTCAATGTCACTTTCATATACAGAGTACAGTTTATATCGATGATGAACTTCCGAGCTAGTAAGTTTGACCGTTACGCTGCCGTGCGATTCTTTTTAATGTACACAAAAGGACCGAACTAGTCTACTTGTACCTTCAATTTCGTCATGACATATTACATAGGTGCACAGAACGTAAGAGAGTGTAACCTATGGACATTCGGGCAAGGTTTAGGTCGCAGTCGTGACCTTATTGGAAAAATTAGTGTGCCTTGTCATTTTCGTTATTTCTTATCCGTGTCTCGCTTTGTGGACATGACGCTGCTTGAAACTTGACTTTGATCTAGATTTACATGACGGGTTTCGTCGACACAAAAAAAAACAAAAAAACGCGTACACTATATCCTTCCGAAATAGGTGTCCTTATTCCCCTACTCCTTGTACTCGTTCAATGATCTTCATGTAATTTTCCTTAATTTTCGTTTGCATTTTGTCTTAGCTTTATCAATTTTGAGTTCGAAAGACGGTTTTGTGTATATTGTTATTTAGAATCTAGAAAATATCTAGACATTGGTAAGCTGACATATACATATATACACTCTCGGGAATGGTGAAAGGGAATTTAGAATCTAAAAGCAATGAAAAGGTTTACTAGCATACAGATATGTTGAGAAAACAACAAAAGTACTATATACATGTATATAACATACATGTAGTGTCAAATGTTTCATATTCTGAGCCTCGGAAGTTTTGTTAATTTCCATATGCTTCACAATATGTTTCTCATACTGTCGATGGTTACACCAAGTATGTGTGATTTTTAATGCTGCCATTCATGTTGATTAACAATGCCGAACCCATTATTAAAAACAGAGTTGTAATGATCGTTTCAATAGATTTTGATAAGTAGAATCTAAAAGCAATGAAAAGGTTTACTAACTTAGCATACAGATATGTTGAGAAAACAACAACAGTACTATATATATAACAAAAAACAATATCAAATCGCAAGTATTCAAAAGTTTTGAGAAATTAAACGATATTTCATTGAAATGTATTGCGTAGGAAGTAACGCCATTGGAGGTCTACCGGAGGTACACTATAACCTTAAGCCTAACATTCATCCTAACCGCTGTCCGGTTTCTTTCTTAGTATCTTTATAATCGTGGTCACTCTAGCGTTTTATTTAAAAATGGCGGATGCAGATAAGACCGACGAACCGCCGGTTCAAGAAGAACTAAAAGGTAACTTTATGATTTTACATTGTCATCTTAATCTACATAGTGATACTGTTTGACATAGTTCACGCTCTCTTCCAAAGAAAACATAACTCCTCGTAAGTTAATATTGGATCTTCAAGATCGAGATGATATTTTAGTGAATGACATCATTTTCTGAGTAATCTGTTGTAGATGGCTTGTTATCGGTGATGAGTCCAGATGTTATCGCGATGTATCGTTTAATATGTTTTACGGCACGGCCGTTAGTGAGGGTGGAGCCAGTATGTACTGTAAATGTATCGGAATATCGGTACTGTACTCTTTCAAGCATTGCGTGATGTGTTAAATTACTAAATCAGACCTACATGTATAGCTTTACAGTGTATATAACAGTTAAGTTTCCTTTCTTGATTTCTTTTTGGCTGACAAGATGTTTGATATCTTAAGTTTTCCGCCTAGGCGTATGGTGACATGACATTAATGTGAGAATGTGAAAGGTTCATTAGACTATATAAGTATTTAAATTTGCACCTCTTGAATCCATTACAANGATAATGAGAGTTGTAAAGTTAGGCATACTGTTTAAACAAATGGTTTGAGCTGATATGCCAATCCATGGAGGATGTATCTGTTTTTAAATTAAATATGTTTAGCATGTTAGACACATCACGTAAGAGACTGTCACGCCTCCTACCACTTTAAGTATAAAAAGAAGATTTCTTTTTTTCTTTTTAATAATTTAGATAATCCACNTACAAGTGCAGCATATTCCAGAAAGACACTGAAATAAAACATATTAGGAAGGATATTGTTAATCATGTATAATAGCATAGTTATCTGATATCCACGAAAAGATTTACATATAATATAAGTATATATCTTTACAAATANACATATCAGCTAAAACCAATTGTTTGCAAGTGAAGTTTCTGGATGATTTTTTTTTTGCGATTTGATCATGTTTTCCTCGATGTTTGATTGATACCCTTATTATGTCATTGTCATATTTGAGGGTCAAAGATTGTGTGTTGTGTTCTGTGATGATTGTGTTAACTTGATGGAATTGATGTTAGTTTCATGATGGACTTGTAATTCTTGAGTCAATATTGGTGTTAAATGTGGTTAAATAAAAACAATTGCCATCACCAGTTACATCATATGCGCAATAGTTTTGATTTCGATTAGAAATGGTTGCTGACGGTCGCATATTATGCAATCTGTTAACAAAAATAAAAGTGGTGAAAATATAATGTTTCTAAATATGTAATTCTCTTCTTTACTGATATTCATAAAGCAGAGCAAACTAATGTGTTCACTTCAATGTTGAATCAAAATGCTGTAATGATTTACACAGATTAACGAAAGTACAGAACAAATTGTCAAGCGTTTAAAGAATGTATTTATCTAAGTATCAATCAAGATATTTTACTGTACAAAACTGTACAGATAATCTTTGTCTTTTTTTTAATGCATTAGATGAAACTAGATTCATTCTATTGTACAAGCAGAGTAGTGATACTGAAAAATCCACAATTTGACCCCTTTTAAAACACCTTACGTTTCCCTTGGAAAGCTGTCGGTGACAATTCTGTTTCATCGTGCGTATTACTGGAGCAGACGACCCGTGAACTTTGACCTCGTCAATGATCTGAACTTTTAATATCCAATGAAAACCAAACGACCTCGTCATTGACCCTGCTTCGGTATTTCCGTCCTAGTGGGAATGACTCTCGTGTGTTACGATCGATTATCAATATTTAGATGGAAAATGTGTATGTTTAGAAAGTTGTTCGTATCAAATTATCTATTTCTTTCCTTAATTATTGCTAATTTAATCAACGGTAATACTGTTTGTCAACTAATCACATTCTTACGCACTCTTCGACACCATTTGCTTGTGACATTCATGTAAGCTTTTTGATGACCCTGTTAATCATTTCTATTTTCGATACAAAAGGAAAGAAATCGCAAAAATAAACACATCCAGTGTATTAAACATGGTCAATATTTTTTGAAAAATTCGTTGTTTCGAATAATTAATTTTCCTGCTACGTTACATGTCGCTCTATTATTCTATTATGCATAGTTACGGGCTCCATGAACCGGAAGAGGTCACCGGAAGTACGAAAAGATTCTAGGCTGTAGCTGTACGATTCAGTGATGAAATCAGTTTGGTTGGATCAGATCTATTTACACGCACATGTTACCAGTAAAGAGCTCCGCTCGGGTGCCTACAGCTTCACTCTTATAAAAAAAGGATCCTTGGATAAAGCATAACAACATTAGGCAGTAGACCAATTTTGTATATGACATTTGTCTCATTTCACTTTACAGGCATCTTTTAACAGCATGGTATACAGTTGGGATATCATTTAAATCAATGCACTATCCCAACTGTATACCATGTTGTTAAAAGATGCCTGTAAAGTGAAATGAGACAAAATGGATATCTGACGACGCAAGATATAAAAAAAATCTCTTGTCCTCAGAAAGCTACGTTATCGCTGCTACTAATTGTGTAGCCCAACCTGTTGTTGCTGAAAATATTAAAAAGTTTTAACTAATTCTTACACTACATCAACAAGTCCATGGTGTCTACCTAGCGAAATTCGTCATTGTAAAACATTGTATAGGATGTACCATCTCCAATATCCAGGGGTTACGCTCACTTTCGCTCTCTACACCCCTGGAATATGTCATAGCAAAAATGAAGGCATGCGGCTAGCTATTTGATTGGTGTCGGGTAAAAAAACCTGACCAATCACTAGTCTGATACTTGTCGTTTGAAGATTACAAAGGAGCGACACCCGACTTCAAAGCCTGTCTTTTTTTTACCTTTATGTGACCGCGAGATTCTTGGACCAAACTAGTCTTCTCGTCTCATCCACAAGGTGTTGCACAATGAGCCTTCAGTTTTGCTATGGCATATTCCAGGGGTGTAGAGAGCGAAAGTGAGTGTAACCCCTGGATATCGAGGATGAGGATGAACATGTATGTCATTATATGAAATTCATGTTTTAGTATACTGTGGTGGTTTTCTTATTAGACATAAAGTCCTATTGTCTCTATCCAGAAGAAGTGCCTGCCAAAACAGAAGACAGACAGAGTGATACTTTTGACATCAAGTCTCACACATTTGAGATCCCAAACAAAAAAGTCAGTCTACCAACAGATGTACCAGCATGGGAAGCATCAGAGGTATTCACTGTTATCTGTACTTACACACTTCAGAGGTATTCACTGTTATCTGTACTTACACACATCAGAGGTATTCACTGTTATATGTACTTACACACATCAGCGGTATTCACCGTTATCTGTACTTACATACATCAGAGGTATTCACTGTTATATGTACTTACACACATCAGAGGTATTCACCGTTATCTGTACTTACACACATCAGAGGTATTCACTGTTATATGTACTTACACACATCAGNTATTCACCGTTATCTGTACTTACACACATTAGAGGTATTCACTTTTATCTGTACTTACACACATCAGAGGTATTCAGCGTTATATGTACTTACACACATCAGAGGTATTCACCATTATCTGTACTTACACACATCAGCGGTATTCACCGTTATCTGTACTTACATACATCAGAGGTATTCAGCGTTATATGTACTTACACACATCAGAGGTATTCACCGTTATCTGTTCTTACACACATCAGAGGTATTCACTGTTATATGTACTTACACACATCAGAGGTATTCACTGTTATATGTACTTACACACATCAGAGGTATTCACTGTTATATGTACCTACACACATCAGAGGTATTCACTGTTATATGTACCTACACACATCAGAGGTATTCACTGTTATATGTACCTACACACATCAGAGGTATTCACTGTTATATGTACTTACACACATCAGAGGTATTCACCGTTATATGTACTTCCGCACATCAGAGGTATTCACCGTTATCTGTTCTTACACACATCAGAGGTATTCACTGTTATATGTACTTACACACATCAGAGGTATTCACCATTATATGTACTTACACACATCAGAGGTATTCACCATTATCTGTACTTACACACATCAGAGGTATTCACCGTTATCTGTACTTACACACATCAGAGGTATTCACCATTATATGTACTTACACACATCAGAGGTATTCACCGTTATCTGTACTTAAACACAGCCTGTATTCTAGTCTCACCAACTCATCTAAATACTGAGCAAATATGTCAGTCCTAAACATACTGGTATGAAAAACTATATGGATCACACAGACATGCTTTTGAGACAATATATAAATAGTCATAACTGAATTGACATAGTCGATGGATTCAACAACTAGAAACATTTAATCAAAATAGCAATATCCTGAGTAAAAAACATAATTTTAATCACTTCTAAACATAAACATCATAGTCTTACAAAGCATTACCTAAAGTTAACATTATAATTTTTAATGCATTGTCCTAAGTAAATATCATAGTCTTTCAACCAATAGAATGTTTCATGAAAGCAACCAAGAATTCTGATTGGCTTACACTTTATAAGTTGAAATTCAAAATTCTGTTTGGTTGATTTGGTTCAGACTTCTGAGATATGACCCTAAGTAAATACCACGTAAATACCACTAAGACACTTGTGTAACAGTCTTTGTTAAAAGTTAGCACTATTGTTTGCAGGCTTACAAGGACATTGTTGGTTTCATCTGTGCAGTAAGCGAAGCTGTCAAGTCCAAGAAGATCAGAGACTCGTATTCTATTTCTGAGGTAATTATTCCTCCGTCAGTAAGTACCAGAGGCGACTATATATGTAGGTTTGTACCCTCCATCTGTAAGTACCAGAGGCGACTATATATGTAGTTTTGTACCCTCCATCAGTAAGTACCAGAGGGGACTATGTATGTAAGTTTGCACCTTCCATTAGTAAGTACCAGAGGCGACTATATATGTAGGTTTGTACCCTCCATCAGTAAGTACCAGAGGGGACTATGTAGGTTTGCATCCTCCATCTGTAAGTACCAGAGGCGACTATATATGTAGGATTGCACCCTCCATCAGTAAGTACCAGAGGGGACTATGTATGTAAGTTTGCACCTTCCATTAGTAAGTACCAGAGGCGAATATATATGTAGGTTTGCAACCTCCATCAGTAAGTACCAGAGGGTACTATATATGTAGGTTTGTACCCTCCATCTGTAAGTAACAGAGGCGACTATATATGTAGGTTTGAACCCTCCATCAGTAAGTCCCAGGGGGGACTATGTAGGTTTGTACTCTCCATCAGTAAGTACCAGAGGCGAATATATATGTAGGTTTGCAACCTCCATCAGTAAGTACCAAAGGGGACTATGTAGGTTTGCATCCTCCATCTGTAAGTGCCAGAGGCGACTATATATGTAGGTTTGCACCCTCCATCAGTAAGTACCAGAGGCGACTATATATGTAGGTTTGTACCCTCCATCTGCCATGCGTTAGTCAATCTGTCATTCCTTGTATCACTTTTCAAGGACATATATCTCATAAACAATTAAAAAAGCTCTGTCATCTACAATTGCTAATTTTCAAAGTGAGTACCTTTTTGGATGACATAGTGTCTCAAACTTTAATCCTATATTTTGTGCTTCTCTACACAGAGTTGTGTTCTTTTGGTCACCATGAGTACATATATAATGATTGACCCAATAGACTGTGTCTATTTAATATATCATTTCATTATTCATAAGAATGTAACTTTGTGATATCTAACATTAATCTGCATGTTTGTTTGGTGTAAGATAAATTGACTGATATCTTCATGAACATGTGTTCCTGTTTTAGACCACTACCAGACTAGTGAATCTCTTGGACACCATGAGCCAGTGGGTTGACGAGATTCCACCGATAGATCAGCCTCAGCGGTTTGGTAACAAGGCATTCAAAGATTTTTATGACCGTCTCAAGGATGTTAGTATCAAGTGGCTATGAGATCCAGACTGTAATTATGTTATTTGATTTAATTTGGACTGTCACCAAGAAAACTCCTAACTAAAGAGGCAGATAGCCTATGATTATTATATGAACACAAAAATAGTAGCTGATTTATACATTATTAAAACACAAATCCTATGTCCCTAGTACCAGAATATCACTAATGATGTCCTATTACAAGTTTTAAGTATCTATTATGATGTCTAGAAGTAGAATCAGCTGTGATGTCTCTATAATGAACCACAACTATGATGTCCCTATATAGCCAGCATCACCGACGGTGTCCCGGTAGCTAACCAGAATCAGCTGTGATGTCTCTATAATGAACCACAACTATGATGTCCCTATATAGCCAGCATCAACAACAGTGTCCCTGTAGCTAACCAGCATCAGCTATGATGTCTCTATGACCATCATCACCAATGATGTCCCAATTACCAGAATTACCTACATTTATCATGCCCTTATTCATCTTGTGTTACCTATGATGTCTCTAGCCACCAGCAATATCCCTCAAGCCCTGTCTGTACAACCAGAATCAGCGTGTCCCTATAAAGAATAGCCGCTATGATGTTCCTATAACCATCATCACCAATGATGTCTCTGTAGCCAGCCAGTACCGACTATATTTGATTTCCACGTAACCAGAATGACCTATGATGTCCCAATAACCAGAATTACCTATGATGTCCCAATAACCAGAATGACCTATGATGTCCCAATAACCAGAATGACCTATGATGTCCCTATAACCAGAACTACCTATGATGTCCCTATAACCAGAACTACCTATGATGTCCCAGAACTACCTATGATGTCCCAGAACTACCTATGATGTCCCTATAGCCAGAACTACCTATGATGTCCCTACAACCAAAATTACCTATGATGTCCCTATAACCAGCATCACATATGATGTCCCTTTAACCAGAATTACCTATGATGTCCCTATAACCAGCATCACATATGATGTCCCTTTAACCAGAATTACCTATGATGTCCCTATAACCAGAACTACCTATGATGTCCCTACAACCAGAATTACCTATGATGTCCCTATAACCAGAATTACCTATGATGTCCCTATAACCAAAATTACCTATGATCTCCCTACAACCAGAATTACATGTGATGTCCCTATAGCCAGAATTACCTATGATGTCCCTACAACCAAAATCACCTATGATGTCCCTACAACCAGAATTACCCATCATGTCCTTATTACTCTCCTGTTACCAGTGATGTCTCCGGCTTTCCTGTTACCAACAATGCCCCTCTTACTCTACCATCACCGAGTCGATTCATTCGTTCTTTTCACTGTTGTCAGAGAAGTGAGACACTGTTGAAGGATGTTCTAGATGAAAAGTTCCATGCAGCTATTCCTGAGATTGCTGTGTATCTACAAGAGGGAATAGGCAATGGCACTCGAATAGATTACGGAACAGGTAAGTTCCTATAGTAGCTGGTTGACTGACTGTTTTTATATATGTAATGTTTCTCTTCCTTTAGGACATCAGATTGGTATGTGTAATGTTTCTCTTCCTTTAGGACATCAGATTGGTATGTGTAATGTTTCTCTTCCTTTAGGACATCAGATTGGTATGTGTATTGTTTCTCTTCCTTTAGGACATCAGATTGGTATGTGTATTGTTTCTCTTCCTTTAGGACATCAGATTGGTATGTGTA